GACATGCATGGCTTAATCTTTGAGACAAGCATATGACTACTGGCAGAATCAACCAGATAACTACCTTGCGGCCCAGGGCGGGGATATTGCTATCCACCGTCGCCTGGGCACGAGGCTCCCCGAAGGGGACCGGAAGGTGAGCTATGTAATCTGGAAGGGACGCACGAAGCGCCCGATCGACCGCGAAGGCCCCCAGCGCACCGGGAACCCGCGACGACCATCCACCTTGCTCCCCACTGGGCCCCTCCAGGACCGGTCCGCACGCAGGTGAACCCTGCCGGGACGCCCTCACGGGCGCCGACAGGCTGCGGCATATGGTTCCTCTGGGGGGGTCCGACCCCGCGGACACGCCGGCGAACGGCGGCTCCCGCAGGGCGGCTCCCCCGGGAATCTGTTTCGATGATGGCCAGCGGCCAACGATCCACAGACTCCGTCAGCGCCGGGGACCACGCAAGGGCCCCTGGGCTTCAGTCACCCCCCCAAACCGCGAAACACGGACCCTGGGGTGCGACGGCACAGGCTTCTTTCCGACTCCAACCGCACGCCCAGCACCGGGAATCCTGCAACCTGGGTACTGTCAACCGCTCCCCGAAGGGGCAGCAACGTGGCACTCCCAGGCGGAGGAAACCGGCCTGCAGCGGCGGCGAGGCGGACACCTGGCCATGGCGCCCCACGGCAGTTCGACCGCAGGGGGTGGTTGGCAGTCCCCGTTCCTGAGGTGTCGCCCGCGATGCGGGACCGAATCACCACCAGGCACAGAGAGACTGCCCATCTGGCAGGGAAGAAGTGTGGGAGGGCGACCGTCAGGCCCGGCGTCACGATGGCTCTCGATCCCCAGGGGGACCCCTGCCCTCACCGTTCGACCGGTCCATGACCATCACCCTTCACATATATCCACCGGACACCGTCGGGGTCAAAAGTAGCCCATTTATGTTCCCGGGTCCCAAAGTGATTCTGGGGGTCGGTTTTTGTATGGGGTGGTCCGTGCACGTGTCGTTTTTCCCATACAAAGTGGGCCTCCGGACCAGTCCCAAACTCCCGCACTTTCGATACTTAGTGAAATTCGACCGCGTTTCTGACCGGCCAGCAACGCTCGCTCTCCCGACCACGCTCTGCTGCCTGCTCGTCGCATCGGCCGCGAGCCGGTTGTCTGGGGCGGCCGGCCAGTCCGCTTCCCGCTGCTGAAAGGGCATGTCCTGTGTTCCTGGAGGTCCGCGGCCGGGCTGATTTGGGGACCGGCCGGTCGGTCGGCCGCGGTCAGTCAGCGGCCCACCCGCCGCCAACTGGCGAGCTTCTTCGACCAGGGAGGCCGGTCCCCCAAACGTGCCGGCCGGTCACCTGTGGGGGTTCAGACGGTCTGTAGAATGTTCCTGGAGGCCCGTTCCACCTCACAGTCCGCGCGGCCGCATGGTTTTGGGACCGGCCGGCCGACCGCCAACTGGCGAGCTTCTAGCTGACTGGCCGGTCCCCCCAAACCTCACGGCTGGTGGCAGATTAATGGGTCCTGGGCATCCTCGGGGCTTCTAGAGATGTGTGGGAAAGGTATTGAGCCCCCTGCCGTACTGACCCAGATGTCGATCGTGGGGAGAGATATATCCATCGGTACGTTGACCCCGCCGACCTCGGTCAACCATGTACATATATTCCCACCTCGCCATGGGTTGCCCGTCCCCATCCTGATATATATCTCTGAACGGACAACTCATATTGCAAATCCTATCCAGCATCTAGCCAGCCGACTCAAATCCTTACCTACTGGGGGCTGCGCGCATCCCCGGACACCCACCAACGACCCGCAAGGACAGTCCTGGCCTGCCCTGACCCCCGCCAACTGGCGAATTCTTACCTACCCCCACGCCGCTGCGACGGGCTCTCCGGTGGCTGCGGCCGCTCACCAAGACCGGGCCGCCCGCCGCCACCAACTGGCCTGCTGGGGTTAAGGTCCGCAAAGTCCTCTTACCGCGCGCCGCCTCACGGCAAGGCCGCCATCCGGCGGCATCCGCGTTGATCCCTCTTCGGCCGCGGCCGCGCCCATCCCCGCCCCCATCGCCGCCAACTGGCAACCTCACGCCCACCACCCCGGGCCCCTGGACCCTCCAGCCACGGGGATCGCGGGGCCTGGGGCGTCCTGCCGCCCGGGAGAGGGGCCCACGGCGCACCTGCATCGTGCGCCTGCCCTGGCAGCAGCACCACGCTGCGGCTCTGCGTTGCAGTGTCCACCGGCCACCCAGCCAGCCCTGCCGCTCGAGGTCCGCGGCGCCGCCCCTGCCGTGGATGGCCTGGCGCGCCCTGCGGGTGGCGGACCACCCTTCCCACATATATCTTCCGGACACCGCCAGGGTCGAAAGTGGTACATCTATGTTCCGGGGTCCAAAACGTGTCTGGGAGGGGGATGTTTTTGTATGGGGTGGCCCTGTGCACGGGTCATTCCCTCCATACAAAGTGTGGCCTCCGGCCAGTCCCAAACTCCCTGCACTTTCGACACTTAATGAAATCGTGAGGCCGCGGCCCGCCGCCAACTGGTGAATATTCTCCGGAGCGGGGGTCCGGCCCCCACACGTCGCGGCTGCCCGCTTGCTCCATGCCCATGTCCCAGCCCACCAGTGCGCCAACTGGCATTGTTCTGAACCGTCACGACCGGCCACTCCTTTATCGCCTCCCCTGCCAACTGGCAACGGCTTGAGGAGCGGTCCGGTCCCCCCACACGTCGCGGCCGGTCACCCGGAAATGCCCAGACGGCAGTGCAGTGGTGTGTTTCCTGGATGCCCGTCCCGGGCCTGAAAGCCCGCAGCCACTTCGGTTGGCCGCCAACTGGCATTGTTCGACCGTCACGACCGGCCATCCCCCTACTGCCTCCCTCGCCAACTGGCAAACGTTTTGAGGAGCGGTCCGGCCTCCCACACGTCCATGCCCAGTAGGAATG